AGTAGAAAAATAAAACAAATTTTATACCTGAGTAAATCCACAAAGCGGGGCGGAGACATCAATAAAAGAATAGGTGTGTAATGATTGTAGAGCTTTTATTTGTCAAAATTGTATTTTTACAGCTATGATATGCTTATATTTGTTTCAAGAGTTACAATGATCAACAGCGATGGGTCTCTGTTAAGATTGTTGCAAAATTGACAAAACATTACACCGTTTGATCCTTGATCCGTTCTGATATACTGTAACACTTTTTCAACAAAACTGTACTGCTCTTTGTTACAACATTATGAACTATTAATAATGTTAAGGCAAAACAGATTTTCTCTAATCTAAAATGTCAACAATGTATGTTAAATAAAAGAGCTTCAGGGAAAAACAATTACCGTTTCAATGACAATGAAACGACAACTATATTAAGCTCTATAAATAAAGTGGACCTACATTATTTGAACTTGTGCTGAACATATTCCATACCAGCATAATATACGAACATTACACTATACCTAAAGAACTTCTATGACCAAAATGGAAACAGCAATGTAAAAATTTTCAATATTCTCTACGAAAACAGAAGCGTCTAAATCTAATCGTATATTATGCTAATACAAATATTAGTCACGAAAGTTTAACTCTAAATAATTTATAATAAACACATTATAATTATTAAAACAAATTGTACCGATATACAATAATTAATACACCTACAGGAACTTAGAAAAATTGCAATATAAGTTCTATATTTAGGTATGCCACTTAAATAAAATGGTAAGTTAAATAAACCAGTTCGCGCTGCAGCGACATCTAGCTCGATCGTGGTGGACGAAACTTAACAATACTATCTAACACTATACAACACGTGTGTACGTCTGTTCGACTGTACGTAACATTGGTCATGAACAAAATCTAGCACTGGCTGATCACATCACAAGATTGGAATGCGCTAGCTTGGAAACCACCGCCTCTACTCACGAGAACCGAACATAGACAGAAAGAGTACGCAAGTTACATATCATAACGCAACTTACAATTTTCACCATAAAAATTACAGTTTTTCTCTATCTGCTACATACTCTATGTTTAATCCGTGATTTGCAGCCTTTATATAAGTCTTGTATAGGCAAGAGGCACTCTAAATATAAAACTGTGGTCACAATTTATGATAATATAAAAATGAATCTACGTCGTATCTATTTCAACACATGAAATATTTCGTGCTAGTGTTTCCTTAAACGTTATCATGCTCTGTAGGTACTTAGAAAGATACCTACGTAAATTTAAAATATAGATATAATAAAGTTTATCATCAATATATATAATATCATCATAATATATATGTATATATATATATAATTTATGTATAATTTATTTGTGCTAACGGCGTGTGAACTCTGCAGGGACGTTGCAACAACTGGCAAATGTTAAAATTTGAATAACTGCACTTGGGGGTTGTATAACCTATTGATCAAATACCTACTTTATATTTTACTAACAACATTCACCATCGCCTATATACACGTAAATACATACATATAAATCTATTTGAATATCATTACTTTAATAATAAATATTACCTCTGAAAGTTAGGAAACAAAATAGTATTTAAACTGCATTCTGTATTTATAAAAAACTATTTCGATAAAAACACGTACAAATTTGTTAATTCGCATCATTATTAACCATTTATTTATTGCTATTAAGTATTTCTGTAAATTGTAAATATTTAATCTTTCTTAAAATAAGAAGAGGAACATTAATCAAGGTTTCAATATTGCTATACAGTTTGGTAACGTTCGACTCTGATAAAACAAAAACGAGTGCAGCTTTTCAAATAGCAACATTCTGGTGATATTTTTTTATCTTTTTTTATTGAATTTTATTCATTTCTCATCTCTAGCTCCGGAAAGTAGCGCATCTACCAATCTATTTATCTAAAATGCATTTTATATACTGTGTGAGTTTTAACAATAGACCAACATTAATTGTTTACTTTCCCAAGTTATTTTCATAGTAAATTCGCTAAACTTTACACAGGAGTATTCGAAATTATGTATTCAATATCCAAACAATCATATCATCGTTAATGAATGTTTAAATTTACTTAAACCGATGAAGATATAAATCGTGGAAACTTCTATAAACAAGGCAATAAATTGAAGAGAAACATTTATCAAGGTGGCCAAGTAAATTTAAACATTAATATATAAACCTCAGCGCTTAGTTACATAGAATTGACTGGTTTATGGAATGTAAATTATATTGGTAGTAATTTTTCAAATCACTTTGATCAATATAAGAGCACACATTCTCATCGACCGTGTTAATGAACAATCACATAATATTCGGAAATAAGTGAAACATTACCACGTGCTGGAAGAGCTTGCACTAACTCTACCACAATTGAATAACTAGTTATTTTAACATTCCATTCAAACGGAATAAACTTAGTTATAAACGATTTTGACATGCCCCGGTACTCGAGGAGAACACACTACACAATTTAGACATTTCTATATTAAATAGCTCATATAATTTACCTAAATTTGTATCGGTGGCATTCGCTATAAAGTAACCAAGTTGACACTGGAATAATTTTGGAATGTTAGGCGTTCGCAATCCAAATATGTATACAGAGTTAAAATAAGTACTTTAGATATACCAAAATTATATCAACCATAGCATACTGGCCTTAATTTCTACATGATGCCTAAACAACTTATAAATAGCAATGAGATCTGTTGCAGAATTTTTTGTTTCCTAATTTTAATCCTTTTCCCCGTTATTACTTGCCCTTGCCTTTTAAATTTAATATATTTTTTCTTTTAATGTTGCTAGTTTTAATAAAATAATTCAATTTTATTTTAAGGCGCTAAACTTTATATATTGTCACAAAAAAAAGTAATTTAAAACATTAATTAATGCGTCGAGAGTAAGATCTCAATTCGCTGGCCTAAAATCCTAAATATTTTGAAATCACATCTTGAGATCGCATCATAAATTCCCAGATGTAATACCCTTACTTGTATTAGACATATATCACAGATCTTTTTCTATATTACCATAATACTTTCTTTTGAGTGAACCCAAAATTATGAATCACTAAATATCTAATTTACAATCAAAGATATTTAAACGCCTACATTCGAAACGAAACGTTTAAGTATAAAGAATATTTTAATATCCTACTTTTAAATATATATATTTAAAATTTAAAAGTGTCACGACACCTATTATGTTCGTGAAATTTATATTATTTGTTTATAAAAATGATATGTCCCATGACCGAAAGATTATGAAATGATTAGGCAGTTTAGTCTATCTACTAGTACATTACATAAACCGTTTAGGTCGATTAAGATAATGATATTATTTCTACCAAGAGTAGCATGCTCAAGCCAGAGTACCGAGGGCAGGTCAACAACTCTATATATGTATAAGTAATTTCCCATTGAACTTACACACTATTATGAGCCAACATCCAATCAGTTCCAAATCAAAGCTTTAATTTTCTCGGTTGTGATGTCGAACGGTGAAACTTTGTATAACAAACAAATATTTACTATAAATTCTGAGCCCGAAAAATAATGGCTATGTCTAAAATCGTATTTGAACAAAAATATGGTGGTGTTGAAAAATAATTAATCTTACGATCAATAAAATATCCCTGTATTTGACTCTGTTGAATTTATTGAACACAGCGATTATCGTGTGGAGTTTCAAACTCTGGGCACATGCGTTACGATCGAAACTTGACGTGAATGTCTGATTACAATTTAACTAACGGAGAAAGGGATAAATTCAGACGTTAAAATCTAAGTGCGGTGCTCTGATAACAAACGTCGATACGCAGGGTTTGAAACTGTTGAATAATCATAAATCAATGTGGTTTGCAGTATGAAAATAGATAGAAAATTTGATATATATATATTTATATGTATATACCATGCCTCTTACGTGGTGTGCGCCGAGAAGTTTGTGAGTAACGGTCATTAAAATAAGGAGAGTCAACAGAGCGGGCACTCAGCAAGAGGCATAGTATTCGGACAGAACGGAAATAGCGCTTAAAGCTTTGATTCCCATGATCACATCCACAACCCTCCCCGTGTATACCGAATACAGAACTACCGAAGCGTTTACATTCTAATAATTTTCCTAAAAATCCAATATTATCAAACTATATGTTATTTACATTTATATGTCATAATATTGCTTTTGAATTACCTCAGGGGAGCGTGCGTCGTTAACTTCGAAAGACATAAAATTAGTAAAAATCTCAAATCCCTAACTTCTTAATTGTTACCAACTATGTTGAGTGCAATCTTCGTATGGTCTCTAATAATTATAATTAAAGCACTCTTAATCAATCTTTAATTTTGTTTATAAAATCAACTCTGACAAGATACTACTATAATAAATATGCAAAGTCTCTAAAGATTATGCCAGCTCTAAATTAATATGATATTTTACAATTTCTTTATTAAATTTCGATAATTTACGAAATTGCAACCAATAAAAACGACGTCGTAAAAACATTTTTGTACAAGCAAATTATACTAAAAAGCATTTGTTATTATCTCGACTTGGAAAGTAAAATTAAAGGATTCATACTTCTCTAGCTAACTTTGGCTATGCCGTCTAATGACCCATCGTAAAATGAGTTTACGTTCTACTATAAACTAAAGCATAAAGAAAGCACCTAACGTTCAAAACTCTTAAGAAAACGAAGCAAACAAAACTGGAACCGAAAATGTTCAAATAAATTTAACAAGTTATCAACTTTAGTGTCTCAATTATCTATTAGTGAAATATCAAATATTATTCATATCATTCAGATCACAGTTGCGGCGTTTTAATCACATTCTTAACTAATTACAACATATTGTCCTCCATTTGTTCATTCAACTATCACTTCTGCTCACCATTGACTATTTCCAATAATAGTTTGTATTAGTGGCTAATATATCGTGGAAGGTTAATTGTGCACTATGGGGGAGCCAGACTCATTGATGCGGGCTTTCTTCCTCCGTGTCGACGGGACTCGGCGAGAGAAACTTGCGAGCGTACTTTGGATAATGTGTCTTCTCATGGGCTTTCAGAATAGTCGACCGCGAAAACGTCTTGCCACAGAGTCCGCAACGAAACGGCCGTTCACCTGTAATACGTATCACAATACAGTTACTCATAAAAACTAATCAACATCATTAAAATAATGGGTAAAAAATATTTATCAAAAATACCTGATGAAAATATTGTAGCAAAAAATGCAATTATGAATTGAACAGTAATTTTATAGAATACGTGTCTGCTTTTTCTATTTATCTAGTTACTAAGACTTCTATGTAAGATATCTAACGAAGTCTAAATTACAAAAATAAATATAGCTAAGAAAATTATAAGGTAATAGGAAAGAGCAATAGAAAACGTTGCTTACCTGTGTGAACTCTACAGTGATCCTTCATATGATGCCTTAGTTTAAACGCCTTTCCACAAAATTCACACTTGAACGGCCGGTCGCCCGTGTGCACAGGTAAATGTGTTATTAAAGATGACACGTCCGGAAAACTCTTCCCACAAAACTTGCATAGCACAACGTTGCCCGGCTCCACCGCTCCTATGTCCAACTCGATTGGAGACTCTTCTGCGTGCATACTCATGTAAGTGGGGTCACTGAACTGCCCTATCATGGGCAAGCCGAGAGGCCTGCCCAGCAGCGCGTCGCGGTACTTCAGCGTGTCAAGCGTATGCGTCGTCAGAATGTGCCTCGTCAGTTTGCTCTGGTGCGGGAACGCCGCCCCGCAGTGTATGCAAGGATACCCCCTCTCCCCTTCATCAATTCGCCCCCTACCGGACCCATCGTACTCCTGCAACCACAAAAAAGAACATCAACTTCTTTTTTCTTGTTCCATTTTACACGGACCAAACTGTGTGCAATATCTCTACCACTACTTTCTAAATTGAGATGCAGTCTCGGTATATTTTTAATTTCCACTATCTAATTAAGAAGTTGACGCTCATTTTTGCCCAAAAAATGTGCAGGAGTGACCCGGGAGCCGGCTACGCGTAATGCCTTGTTGTTTAGCAACGCGCACGCGTACTGAATCACAGATTCGTACAATAACGTATGCATGTAATATGGCCAAAATTTAAAATAAAAAAAAACTGCCCAAAATATATATCAAACAAAATGAATGGATATAAAAATGATGGCCAACAAAATGAAGGTCAACTTCTTGACAGCAAGGCATAATACTCGATGTTGAAAGTAGCGCAGCATATCAAACAAGCATGCGTGTAACAAATCAATTTACACATAAAACACCAATAGCCAAATTAAACATTAGCTCTTAGAGCAGGGTTCTTCACTAGACCATGTTAGTCACTTTGTTTAGTGCCACCACTTACATTAGTAGGCATACATACAACGACAATTTACCTACACACATAATATTAATGAAGCAGCCACACAAAACATTTAAATACTAAATAACTTAGAATTTTGACAAGCACAAGGTAATCTGAACATTAAATTAATTGGGCAAATATGCAAGTTTTATTAAGTTACTTAATACTGTAAACCAGTAGGCACATAAGACACTAGCCTGTTCGACTAGATACCAGCTTTTTATTTATATTGGTATATATAAACATCAAATATGATTGTGGAAAAATAATGAAACATGCAAGACAACACGGATCTATCACAATATACAGAGACATTTATACAAGCTACTTACATACACGCATGCAATATAATCTATCTACGACTCATTTAAGTATTATCAGTGAACGTCACATTAAAAAAAAACAGTGACTTTCACTAAATATACAAGAACACAATATAAAGTCTTCATTTGTTACTAAGTAATGGACTTTGGGACCAATTTTATTCAAAATTTTGTGCATACTCATATATTTAAATTGCAAATTCTAATTTATTTAACCCATAGTTAAAATTGAATTGAATATTAACACATAACGTCACCCTTGTTAATATTATAGATGACATAGGTTAAATACATAAATTATACTAGTCATATAGCTTGGTATACCCCAGTAATTCAGTTCACTCAACAATTCAAATTGACAAGCCGAGACTCATGTTTAATAATAATTCTTTAAAATTTTAACTTTCTGTTACATATTGTACAGTTAAACTACACACATATATATACAGAATACAAATTATAATGTTTTTACTTACAGATTCGTGCTGCATTCGATACTCTGATGATGTTTCGCCACCCACTTTGTCCTCGTTGCTCCTATCCCAGTCAATTTCTTTCTTCAAAGACTGAAAGTTGTTAAAACATCCATTAGTTTTAGTTATTGAACTATATCATTTTTTTCAATATTTGATATTCTTTAATTATATTATTGAAATTCATTAAGTGTTTATTTTATTGAAATTCATTAATAATATTATTCCTGTCCAATGTATGTAATTGCTACTTTCAAAACTAATTTAATTTTAAAATTTTGAATAAGCTTTCTTTCGAGGAGGTTCTATTTGCTAGTTAAAAAGTTGCTACAATAACTAGTTTAGTTGCTGCAGTATTACTTCTTAATCCTTGAAGGATTGGAGTAAAGCCAAGTTCCAGGTGTCCATGGGCGACGTCGATTGCTTACCATCAGGTGATTTGTCTGCATGTTTACAGGCTTATGCCAAAAAAAAAAGTATCATTCTTTCTTGAAATTAATTGTGAATATTATTTTAATTTTAACTTTCTCTTAATAAGTGGTAATACATACCAAGGGTACTTGTTGCACAGGAGGTAGTCCTGAGGGTCCTGCTATAGGTTCACTCCTCGGGCTTGACAGTGATGCGTGGGATGGGTGCGTCAATCCAGGATGAGATATAGTGTTCAGGACACTTAATCGCTGCTCCACTGGAGAATAATGGGCACCCAGCACACTGCTACTGCTATGACTGTTGATAGTCATGTTTAGTCCTGGAAATGTATAGAAAAAAAATGTAAATTATAATAATTTTCCTCTAAGGTAATGATGTAAATTAACCAAATTATTTCCAAAATAGGTGATATTCTGACTGTGGCACTGAACATTTGTAGTTTGTAAAAATAAGTTGCTAAGTTTGTGTTAGAATTTTGAAAAATTAGAAAACGTTTACCTAATCTCAAGTTATTGCGCCAAAGAACCACATTGATGTTACAAGATTGTCATAATTTTGCTTGACCATATTCATTTTTAGGGTCAATACTTTACTATTCATTTTATAAAATATATTTGTAGGGACTTGATCCTTTTGTTTATCAAAAACACTAAAATAAATCGCTGAAGTGTGGATCGTATGATGGCAAATAGAAATACGATGACAAACGTCAAAAGTCAAAATCAAATGTCAAAACAAAGTAGTGTTGTTCAGACAGATTTTTACATTTGGTTAGTTAGTCGATTACGCAATTTGCTAACGGATAACATTGTTGTTCCAAAATATTGCTGTTGTAACACTTAATTTTTCTAATTTTATCCATATATTACTATATTGACATTTTTTTAAAGAAATTAGGCAGACATATTTTGATGAAGACAGGTGGTATCAATCATGTTTTATTATTATTTTATGATTAAATAACAAACTGGATTGAGTTAAAGTACGTGTAATTAATAATTTATCACTATTATTTCGTATATACATAGTAATTTTAAAATAAATATATTACAAAGTCACTACTGTTTTTTCCGTAGGTATAAAGTGATAGTTGAGACTTCAGTTTGATTTGAGTAATGAAATGATTAAATACCTATATATAGTGAATAGGTATTTAGGTATATGATTGATACGTACCGATATTTTCATTTTGTGCTCCATTTGATCTAATCGACACCGTATCATCTTCTGGTGAAGACGATCGCATGGGCTCATCAGGAGGTTCATCTTTCGGGATTGGAGGGTGTGACAAGGTTGGAGTCTCGCCCGTGATGTCAGACCTAAATCGTCGTACTGACAATAACGGCGATATTCTCGGGGGTGATGCCTCGGGCATTTCTCTATGATCACGAGGTTCCCGAGATTCTCGTAAATCCCTTGGATCCCGAACCTCCCTCAAGTCTCGTGAGATGTCTCTAGATTCTCTAGATTCTCTATGTTCCCGCAAATCGCGGGGATCCCTTAAATCACGAGGGTCTCTTGTTTCCCTAATATCTCGCGATTCCCTTAAATCACGAGGTTCTCTTTGTTCTCTATCTCTGTGTTCTCTTGATTCTCTCGACTCTCGAGAATCTCTTGAATGACTTTCTCTCACGTGAGTTTCTCTGACGTCACGGGTTTCTTTGTTTTCTCTCTCACGGACTTCCCGTGAGTCTTTCAGTTCCCGCCGTTCTTCTTTGTCCCTGTGATCTCTGCCGTCTACCTTCTCATGTGGTTCTGAACTCTCCCTCGTATCTTGTGGTTGGCACTCTTCCATTGGTTCTTGAACTTTTCTTGTTTCAATGCCGGCTGCGCTTAGGGTAGTCATTTCAGCAAGTCCTTTCACCTAGAATAAAAAACAAAAAATGGATTTAATTATGAAAAAATTACTGATGTTAGACAGATACATTGTTTAGTTTCAAAAATAGGCGCTCTAATGCCTGCAGTAGTAACTGGGTAATTGAAATAGACTTGACCTTAATACTTTATTTACGATGTCAGACAAGTTAAAAAGCAGTCGCAGTTAATATTTATACGCACTAGTTGGGAGTAGAGGCTTAAAAAAAGTCATATTCAAAAAGATTACCTAGTAGGTAATAACAATAGATATGGTTAAGTAATATAATTAATTACCTGAAGGCTCTCAGCAGTTTTAAGGAGAGCAGGCAGTTGACAGTACTGGACGTTGACCTCGCCCTTGTACATGAAGTCGACGAGGGTCCTTAGCTCCTCCAACCCCACGTCCTTGAGGATCACGATGGGATGACGCGACGGGTGATCAACAAACAGAGATCGGAAGTACGATGAACACGCAGACAGCACTACCTGAAAATATATTAGTATCTCCGTTATTTTTAAAGACAAATAGCCCTTTATTTAAATTAGAAGAAGGTTTCATTTCCATTGATGTGATTAATTCTCGCATAGGCAAGTAAAAGTTTCAGTACCTACTTAAAATATATACCTGAGCATAAAACACTTGAATCATACCTACTTGAATGATTCGTGTCGTGAGCGTCTGCAAACGAGATAATTCGCATTATTTTAGACGTTTTTACTATTACAATTTCTTGATAAGTGTCCTACAAATTTAAACGAACTGATTCTTATTCTAATGTAGGTACTTCCATTAACTTAAAATTCAATGGATTGGAAAACCTACGCATTAAACCTTTGCTATAGCTTCAGAGAAATGGTTCGTGTTAGAGATGAAAGTGTTTCCTCGTAGTGCCGATTAATGGCTAGTAAATCTTATAACGGATTGACTGCATAATTTCAAAGCTGTCGTGCACTGAGCTGATGTTTAACTTACGATCAGTCGATTAGGCTTAAATTATGTCTGCATTAGTCGAACCTACCTACATTTGCGAAGTAGTTTTTTTTATAATTCTATTTAATCAATATAAGCCATGTAATTTTATCGACTAACTTTTTTATGATTATTACTTTTTTGAAGGTAGAAAATCACCCAATGATTTCTCCCGCCTTGGGTTAGGCCGTGGCGAGAGAGAGTGTCAGGCTCTTACTGACTAAAAACCTCTCAGTACCTACTTCTGTTTTGAGCTCGACCCCCGATAATCGGTTATGATTCTTACTAAACATAGTTACTTACGAAGAAGAGTACCTAAAGAAAAAAATTGTTTTGCTTCTTAAGCTTCTGTTATAATTTTTTCGCTAAAGCTATAGTAATTTGTTTTTGGACCTAATCGTCTACTCTTTGGGTCACGTTAGCTTTCATTGTCTAATCGCTTTTGATCACAACTTACTTTAACTCTTGTGTGTATGATATAGGAGTTTTGGTAGTTGGCAATGTTTAACGAGTTTTCCTAATGTGAGACGGGCATGTACCATTAGACAATGAGGTACCTAAAGCAAAGTTTCCCATTAGAGGCAAAGAATGCCTTTAGTACCTTAAGTTGTATTTAGATACATTATGTAACTGTGTGTTTAGTACTCCTAATCATTTTGATTGTCCATTAGATCATCTGTATTACAATGTATTTTTAGTAGATAATAAAATATTAATAACTAACAACTTCCTCCGCCTATTACGAAACAAAAGATGTCGAACGAATTCGGCAAACGACTTCGTGATCCTACAGAATAATTACAATGCAATAAATATTAATTTAATCCTAATGTTAATGCAGTTTGTCTTGCAACAGTATCCTGTTAATCGTGTCCTGCATAACGCGGTTTGTTAGAAGGCTTATTTGAATAATCTTATGTCATGTGAGGAACAAATTTTCCTTGATTACTTTTTGTAGGAAACAAAGCAAGGTATCAGATATAGTCAAACGAACAGCTAAGCTGAAGTGGCAATGGGCGGGACATGTAGCCCGCAAACACAACTCGTGGTGCAATGATCTACTGGAGTGGAGACCGTGGGAGCACAGACGACTTGTTGGTAGACCGCAGATGAGATGGCAAGATGACATCAAAGACTTGGCGGTACAAAATTGGATACTAACAGAACTAAGTGGAAAGATTTGAAGAAGGCCTACACCAAATTGGTTGAAAAAGACTTGAGATGATAATTACTTTTTGTAGGTAGGTTTTGTCTGTACAATATTATAACCGTATCCTTAGCTTAAAATTAAATTAGTAGATATGCGCCCCCTAATAGACATCCAACTCATTGTCTACTGGACATTTCCGCCAATAAATTAATCCGTGAGTAATCAACGACGGCATAGCGATAATAATGTAAATGCATCTTAAAAGCGCTGATTAACAATAGGCAAGAACAAAGTAATGTAATGAGGTGTAACGAGAGGTTTCTAAACGTGCCAAGTTGAACTAACATTATACTTGTATGGAATCTCTATCGTTCACGCAGCGTGTCGGTCTGGGCGCGTGTAAAAGAGGTGGAATTTGCTTACCAGGCCCCCTTTCTTGGGCGTTAATGAGTCTAATAGTTGGTTTGACCAATTTGACCCTTTTCAAAAATCATACAATGAATTCTCCCGCTCGGGTGAGGTGAGAGGGAGTAACAGACAGTTACTGACCCCGTTCATATTCCTGCTCTTCGAACCTGTGCCCCGGCAATCTGATAAACTGTCATTTAACTAAAAGATACTTAGCGTGAAGAACTACACTAACTAACTAACCTAACCTATACTTGCACTATTAGGTGCCACTTACAGGTAGGTGAAAACTTGAAAAAGAGGAACCTATGGAGTTTCTTGAAACTATGGAGTTTCTTGAAACTCCATAGGTTACTCTTGCAACTCCATAGGTTACTCTTTTTCAATCAGGTTTACAATATAATTCTCTAGTTACATAGTTCTGCTGTTGTTCACTGAAACATGCCCAACGAAACTAGAATGACAACAATACAAATACTAATCCGTGGAGCTCTAAAACTTAATACATACTACTATAAAAAAATTAACTTAATCTAGTATGTCAATAATTGTTTTAATAGATTCCTTTTTGAAATTATTGTAAGTGATTTACCTTGTGAGCCCTAATGGATGCACCCTCGGAGCAGGCAAGCGTGACGTCGACCAGGCTCTCGTCGTGCAGCAACTGGCTGAATACTCCCAGCAGGTTGCTCTGATGATTGTTCCACCTTAGGCAATAGTGCTCACTTCCCATGTCTGAGCTAGCTCCCGCCGCTGTAACATATTAATTAACATTTTAATCCTTAATTCTAAATTATTATTAGGATTCTGTCTTTCATCATCTAAATTATCATCATCATCATCATCAACTCCTTCCTATCCACTTCTGGATATATGCCTCTTCAATACCACACCACCGAGCTCGATCTTCAAGCTCTTTGGATCCAACCATATCACTTTAATCGAAGTTTTTGACTAAATCATAGAAAGTGTTATAACACTTTCTATGATTTAGTCAACAACTTGGTAAAATTAGATACCAACACTAGGTAGGTACAGCTTTGGAGGCTTCGGAGCAGTTCTCTTTTAGAGGACCCGGTGCCTCCATACAGCTGTTGAGGGTGGCAACCGGGGTGGTTTTAGGTATAAATCCCACACTCCCTAGTGTTATATCCCCAAAAAGGCTAAGCGCCTTTTGAAGGTTTCGCCCCGTCATCCAAAAAAAGGTTGGTAGGTACCTACAGCTTAGCTGTGACCTATTCGGTTTTGCAGAATAACGTACCTACTCGAAAACAATCACCACAAAAACTCGCCACTGCTCGTAAGTATCTACCAATCAAGTAAGAAGATACCACTCGATCAATGTTAACAATTGAAAAGGGGGAATGGTGCCTATGAACCAGGTAAGTTGCCAAAATCTCATGATAACCATATAATCAAAAAAGTAAGCGGATGAAGTAATTCGAAACCATTTAATTTTGTATAAAAAATCTAGCAAATGAATCTTCTACCATAACATAACATCACGCTTTTTCTCCCCGAAGGGGTAGGCAGATGTCCACATTATGTCACTGTACAAATGTAACACCCACTTTTCACTATTTATGTTATGAGTCCCATGTAATAGGGGGTGAGCCTATTGCCATATACCGGGCACAATTCCAGACTCCGTGTTACTACTGGGTATTTTTTTAAAACCAGTAATACTTTGCCCAACCCGAGAATCGAACCCGAGTCGCACTCGCGACCACTCGGCCAACGAGGCAGTCTTCTACCATACACGCATAGGTATTTCCGTTTCCAAAACACCAGCAATTTTATTGACATTCGTTTGATGAAAATGACCTACACCAACATTAAGATACTAAGTAGCACTCCCGAAAAGTCCACACTAAGATTGTCAACCAAAACAAATAAAATAATCTCGAAATATTTCGCATCCGCTTCAGAACACAGATAAATGTGAATTTAAAAAAAACATCACGTGGATGAGTCTATGTATGGCAATGATAACAGATTGAAGCATGCACATAAGTATGCTGTGTACCTATGTATATAATCTTCATATACACTAAAATCTGTACCTACATGTCGTTAAGCTAACCTCCGCTACACTTCATAGCGGTGAATAAAAATAATTGCGGTAACAGGGGTTTTTACTGCTTATTATTTGCTAATGCACAAAACATGTGCTTCAAGTGTGTCGTTAGGTTCTAAGTGCTAGCTAAATTTTAAATTAAGAAGCTGTTTTTTTTTAAATATAAATAAGTATCCTCATATTTGTACGTCACTATTATAGTGCCAAGTAAAAAGTTTGCATTGCTCTCGTTGCATAGTCCCAGCCCTAGTGCAATTGGTACTTAGGTAGTTAGTACTCATAGTTATCGTTACACGTGGATATTTACGTCTGCTACAGACTTAGCCGTTATCAATTTTAAAGGCCTATTTTCAACACCAGTCACGACTGATTATTCATTTACCGCTTATTAACTTATACATACAATACACCAACACATACATGTTAAATCATCCACGAACTAACATATAAATACCGACAAAAGGCATTGTGTCTAGGCATAGTACTAATTTATATGTGAACATAAACTGTTCAGTCTGCGACCTCGGAAACATCATGGAATAATATAAATTAATTTTGTTGCAAACAGCCTTGAAAGGTGTTTTAATATCACAATCGATAAAATCCTTTGAGAAGATTCATATCATCTGAAAATCGCTTTCACTTTGATTGATTGACATGTTTTTCGGAATATTCTGAATAAAATATAGGTACAGTTTACCTTAGCGGGCAATGTAATGCACAGTAGCAGATAGATGAACTTGACATTGAATTTCCTGTTGCACCCGCCGCTAATTACATGAACCTACCTACCCCGCGAGCAGCAGCCGGAACACTCAGATTTGCTAATAAGTACAAAACGCCACTTATATATTATTTTTTATTCTGTGATTACTGCTTCGCGCCTACATGCGCGAAGATAAATATAGCTGCGAGTGTACCTAGTAGTTAAACGTAGGTGTTGTGCGCACACGCGTGCGGCCGCGACGCAGTCAAGATCAAGGGCGCACGATTGCGCAAGAGTTGGCGGTCGCACCGCACTGCAACTCGGTGTGATGTCATCGGTCCGTCTGTCTCCCCCCACTCCCTCGCTTCTCGCATCACACGCTCGTTGTAAAGGCCGCGGACGCGGAACATTCTATTTTAATTTTTTGACCGTACGTTTTGTGTTTAGATCTTTTTTTGCAAAATGTTAAGTCCTTTTCCCATCGCTCCCATCAGTTCTCAGAAGACGTCATATCATTGTTCTAGACTTTTTAAATCGCTATACATTATGAGGCACAGGCATGCTGTATTGATGGTATCTTGAACAATTTGAAGTAATTTTCAGGACAGATAAACTGCACCTTATTCTATGTCACTTCCTACTAATATTTCTTTGTAATATCTAAATAGCTTACAGCTGAAAGATAAGTACAGACCTACCACAAACTACCTAAATAAGTTTATGGAATTTTTCATTTATCTAGGCTTTAGGCATCTTTATGATGATAATACATAACTCCAATCTATCACATTATCAGGACATTTTGATGATATAAACGGCTCTGCAATCTTGTGACCTTCCTAAAATGCACTTGATAAAAATGCAACAGATTACTGATAACTTCTGCGTAGCGGAGTTTTGATGTTATCGCTTCAGATACAATCGACTAATGGCACAAATTCGTGCGTTCTGTTCATAAATTATATCAAAGTAAAAATCTAGGAAACCCAATCTAGAATCTAGTTAAATACTATGTCGTATTTATCGGCTTTTCTTTACTGGTTAAAATCACTTTGTTGATGAAATAAAACATGAAATTGTGTAGACTCTTGTGATGAAGATAGGAATAGTGTAAAAATGAAATATGACAAAGAAATATACATAGGTATTATGATTTATACTTTTAAACATCTTATTCGAGGTGTTTATTTCGCAGTAAACCTGTCATGAAGTTAACACATTATCAAAGTAACAAGATAATATCATGCCCGAGGAGAAGTTGTTTAGTTAACTGTATTAATTTAGGTGAAACTGAATGTTACCCTGAGGAACTCTTGGAACTCTTAAGTAAGTAATCGAGAAACACTTAGAAGTTGTGTCCGAAACCTACTTGGTGATTCCTTCTTTTAACCGCTTGAATATTTTTTATAATAACTATCGTGAGACATACTAAATTAACTAAAAATGGCGGGACACTCACGTGAATATACTGAATATTGAATAAACTTTGAAATGTTTACTGTAATGTGCTTTAAAAAACATGGATTTCTATTGAAAATAAAATAAAACAATAATGTCTAATTGTATAAGACATTGTACTCGATGCACCTGGCCTCATACACAAGTTCAGTCAGTTAGTAATTAGCTGTATATTCAATGAACAAATTATTTCTACCACCATCTTAATAGTTAATGATTATAATTGGTAGTCGATTGTCTACAAAATACTTATTTATTTGTATGTATTTTTTTTATTATTGTTATTTATTAAAGGGTTTTTCGGTTCGAATATGGAACTTACCAATTCATTGCACGTTTTATAAAAGTTTATTTATCATGGGGTCCTATTTAAGTGTAATAGTGATTAAAGGGTTATTTTCAGCTTTCTGATTGTGTTTTACCTGACTGTTGTGTGTAAAATTGATCCATTTTTTGTTATTTGTCAAAACAACCTTGATTGGCAAATTTGGAATGTAAAACTATATGTACAGGTCCAAGTCACCTAGTTGTCCAGGGCAAACCAAATTAATGTGATCGCTGATAAGATTAATGGGTACTTTAGTAAGACTTCAAATAAAATCCCCTAGATTATAATATGTATAATTAGGGCTATTTGTAATATCGACACTGTATTAAATGTATCAGCTTCAGCTAATATTATAGATACGAAACAACCTCTAGCAGTCTTTTGCGCTGGACTGTATTTGAGGACATCTGGGTTCAAAAGTGATAGAGGCAACATAGGCTACACTCTACCACCTTAAGTCATATCAAATTCTATAGCAGTTAAAAAGTAGTACAACTAAATAATATATTAAGGGTGTTTATTAGCCATTCCCATTTCATATTTGTGCATACTAACACAACACAATTGATATAATAATATTATAATGATAATGATAGGCCTCACAGCGTACGCATACATTTTTTATGTACATACAATGACAATAAAACATATACCTAACCTAACCTAACTTCTCAATTCACGTCCAATTGCCGTCTCATCCACTTACTAGTCAATACGCCTAAACATACACTAACAATACTAACATTATGCGAATTCAAATTATATCAAATAATATTATGTCAACGCCTAACAAAGGACGAAAAACATTACGCAAATAATCCCTATATGAAAATTATATTTATAAAGTCTTAGTCGAAAACAATACCTAAATAGGTACTAATATCCTTACTAATATTATAAATCTGAAAGTGAGTTTGTTTGTTTGTTCCACCTTCACGCCGTAACTACTCAACCGCTTTGAACAAATAAAAGAAGTTCAGGATTAAATAATAGGGTACTTTTTAACCCGGAAAAAATTGATATTCCCGAGGAAAAACAAAAGTATTGGTATAGATGGCGCTGTGTGTATTGGTATATGTCACATAGGCTACTTTTTATTCTTTTGTGACGCGAGCGAAGCCGCGGGTAAAAGCTAGTTAATAATAAAACCGTTTTTAAAACGAG